TATAATTTAAAACTTAGCCTCAAAAAAATATTAAATAAAATATAATAATTATTAATTTTTGAGGCTAAGTTTGTTTAGTTATAAACTCAAAAGCCTGAAGTTTTTTTTTAAATAAATTTATTAAACTTATTTAAAAAATATAATCTGTAAAATATAAAATATTAAAACTGTGTTAAAATTTAATTATATCTAATACTATATCTAAAAACACTTCTAAAAAAACTAAAAGAGGCTATAAAGAAACTAATGTTTGGGATCATTTTAGTAAAGAACCAGTGAGAGACAGACATTATTCAGCAACATGTAATTATTGTACTAAAAAATGAAATTGAGAAAGACCTGATGATTTAAAAGCTCATTTAGTATTATATTGTAATTCGATATCACAAGATATCAAAATGAAATATTTAGAAATATTAGCTACTGAAAATTTTGCTAAAAAAGTAAAAAAAAAAGATAGTAGTTCTGGAAAATTAATAACAAATTTTTATAAATCACTAACAAAAATTGAAAAAAGTAAAAGAGATAGAATTGATCAAGCATTAATTAAATTTTTTATATATTGTTGTATTCTATTTTATACCATTAATCATCCATATTTTATAGATTTTATTCAATATCTTTGCCTTGGTTATGTTTCTCCTAAAAGAAAATACTTTTATCAACTATTTTAAATTAAGAAATTTCTTCTGTTTTAATTAAAATTAATAAAGAACTTGAAAATAAAAATAATTTAACATTAGGTATGTAATAATATATTTAAATTCATTATTTATAAGATTAAATATAAAATAAATAATATCTTTAGTAAAATTTTTAATTTTAAATTTAGATTATAAATTTAATATTAAAATTTAAACTTAAAATTATATAATTATAGTTTGTTTAAATTTAAAAATTTTACTAAAAATATTATCTAAATTTATTTATAATTTTAATTATATTAATATAATTTATTTTTATTAGCTGTAGATGGGTGGTATAGTTCTTCAGAAAAATCTATTTATGCTTTTGTAATTATTACACCTAGTAGAAAACAATATATTCATGCTTTAGTTAATGAATCAAGTAAATCTCATATAGGTTCTTTTAATACTTCTGAAATTGAAAAAGTTTTAACTTCAATTGGGTCTCAAAAATTTGCAGCTATTGTTTCAGATGCAAAGTCAGCTATGCAGTTAGCAAAACAAATAATTTTTACTAAATATCCTTATATTTTATCTATAAGATGTATAGCACATCATATAAATCTTATAACTTCTTATATTATTAAATTAGATTTTGCTAAATCTATTTTTAAAAAATATTAAACTATAATAACATTTTTTAAAACTTCTTATTATATAGGTGCAGCCCTTCAGAAAGATATTATTAATTCTTTTGTAAAAGGTGGAGGATTAAAAACTTTAGTAAAAACAAGATGGTCTACTGCATGGAATTGTTGTAATTCAATTATTAGATTAGAATATAGTCTTAAAAATGTAAGATAATTTAATTTTTATATATATAGAGAATTGCTATTTCTATTTCTTATTTTTGTTAATTCTATCTCAAATATCAAAAAATACTCAAAAGAGATATTTTTATTAAATAAATCTCTATTTTGATCTTAATAAATGTTGTTCATCAGGTCTTTCTGGTTCTAATGATAGTAAAATCATTAAAATTGGGCTAGTATTTTTTAAAATATATATATCCAAATTAGTTAATTTTATTTACTTTAAAAACAAAGCTATTAGTCTGATTTTAATGATTTTACTACTATTAGAACTAGAAAGACCTGATGAACAACTTTTATTAAGATCAAAATAAGGGTTTACTTAATAAAAATACTTCTTTCAGAGCACTTTTTAAATTTTAAAAGTGGTATTATTAAGTTTAATAATTTTAATATTATTTAGATTCTTGAAAAACAACCTGAAATTTTTCAAGATACTTTAACTATTAAAAATATTCTTCGTAATCATCAATTTTTGCAAGATGTAGAACAGTTAGAAATAATTTTTGCCCCTGCTAAAAGAGCAATTAATGCAGTTGAATCTAAATCAACCAATATGGCATTATATTTTTTAGAATTAGTTAAAATAGCAATTGCAATTAAAAATTATAGACTCTAGTTTTAAAAAATAATGTATTAAAATTTATAATAGATATTGGAAACAGTTTGATATTACAACCTATCTTCTTGTTTATTTTTTATATTCTAAATATCGAAGTATATTTTATTTAATTTATTTATTATTTAAATAATATAATTATTAATTTTATTATATTTTATTAAATTTTATTTTAGGTAAAGGATGTAAAGATAAAGTATTTTGTAAAATTTGTTTACATGCTATAAAAATTTGGCAGAGTTCTAGTACTAATAATAATACTTATAGAATATTATTAACACAACTTCAAAAATATATTGAAAATTTTAAACCATATGATATAGAATATATTGAAGATTATGATATACCTGAACTTTGGTGGACAACTTGCAAACAACAAATAATAATATGCATTAAAAATATTTTCTATTGTTCCACACCAAGCAGCACGTGAAAGAGTATTTTCTGTTTTAGACTGGATAATTGAAAAAAAAAGAACTAGGTATAATAAATAATTTAATTTAAATAAGCTTAATATTAAAAAAAATAAAATCAATAAAAATTTTTTACAAAAAATTAATTATTTTGTATAATTTAATACTATTAATTTGTTTTATTAAAATAAATTAAATAGTTTAATAGTTTATAAAATAATTAATTTTTTATATAATTTTTTTATTATTTTTTTTCTAGTAACTAACTGAAATAACTATTTTATTAATTTTAATATTGTAAATTAAATTTAAAAATTATTTTTAGATTAGATATTAATCATCTTCAGTCAATGGCACAAATTCATTTATTTTATATTACAAATATGAAATCAGAATTAAAATTTTCTAAAGAAAATCTTAATAAAACAGAACTTGAAATTATAGTTAATGAAATATCAGAAGCTCTTATTGAAAATAGTGATTTTTTTGAAGAAGATATTGAAAATGAAAATAAAGAAGATGATAAAGAAGATGATAATGATGATGATAGTTTTGATTTATATGATAAAAATGATAATGAATCTAATCTTAAGATTTGCTTATAGCAGAATTAATAGATTTGAATTTTTATGATAATAAGGAAGCTGAAAATAATTTATCTTTAAATAATCAACAACAAATAAAAAATGAAGAAAGTTCAGATATTGATTTAGAAGCAATTCTTAATGAAGAATTTTAAAATTAAAATATAATATTTATATTTTAATTATTTTTAAATAATTAATTATAGAATATTTTTTTCTATTATAGGTTTTTTTATTACTATAATTTTTATTTAATTATGAAATTTTTTTTTCCTGTTGCAGGTTTTTTTTATATACTATAATATATAGTTCACAAATATTATAGTTTTAATAATTTTTATTTTTATTTATTTTTTAGATATTTATATTTATATTTATTATTATTTTTTATTGATTTTTATTAATTTTTTTTGGATTTTTATTAACAATTTATAATTTATCAAAACAATTTTTTTATAAGTATCTATATTTTATTATTAAGTACTTAAGAAGTTAGGCTCCAGCCCTATGAAATGTTACCATTTTACTACTGTAATATTATAGTGTTATATAATGTTATGGTATCGCATTATTACAGTATTATAGTACTATAGTATTATGCTATTGTAGGCAGTATTATGGCATTACGGCATTACGGCACTAATATTTACGGCAATTAAGCACTAATGGTAGAATTAATTCTACCAGAGAAAAAGTTGCTGTAATGCCGTAATTCAGTAATTCTACCACCAACTATAAGGTGGAGTGCCTACGTCAGCCCAGAGACAAGTAAAGTGAATAACTACACACCATTATAATAAATACAAAAACTTTAGGTTTCATATAATTCCATAATAGTTTTTCCATTTATTAGTCTAAATATTTTTATCACATTATCAGTTTCATTACATTATTTTAGTTTCAGCGCTTGCCACTATTAAATTTGCAGAGATCGAAACCAAGCTTCGTTTAAGGCGAAATCTCTAGGTTTGACGAAATCGCACATGGAAGTGTTACAGTATGTAATTAGGAAATGATGTTTATTCACAAGGGTATCTATATACATTACAAAACCTCAATGGACCTCACTGGATATTCCAGTGAAAAAAGGTACAAGAAGAATCATTGCAATTTATAACTAGACATGTCATATTCACCAATTTTCATCAACAACAATGCAACACCTCTATTCGTAATAATTGCATCACCGATTTAAACGACTATATAATGTCGAATAACAGAGTCGCCAGCTGAGTCATCATCTTGCAATTTTTATACCTTTGTCGCATGATATTTGAAGTAAAATTGCAAATCCAATAAAATGACCTTCAACTTAGTTGAACATAACTAATTGAGTATCGGAAGCATCTTTATTAGATCACTAAGACATGTATTAAAAATCATAAAATAATCAGGTTAATTATTTAATAGTTGACATAAGAAAGTATGTTGTCTTATTTCTAAATTAAATATTGTATGAAATATCGACGTTAAAAGTAAGAGAATTGCCAATTATTCACATTTCACATTTGAATTCCAAGATTAATTTGAACAGTTTTCACTTGAGTATATTGATCTAACGCGTATTTTCCAAGTTCTCGACCGATACCGGATTCTTTATAACCACCAAATGGACTGCTTATCAAAATTATGAATTAAAATAAAACCTATACGAAAATAAAAAATAGGTAAATTGGGAATAACAATTTCTTACGTATTGGCATCAACTAAATTATAGCAGTTAACTGTAATATAAATATAAATTAAGTTACAATATTAAATAATAGATAGATGCACAACAACTTAAAAAAAAAAAAAACCTCTTACCCCATACTGTGCCAGCTTTCAACTCATTTGAGATTTTTATTGCACGAGTGATATCTTTAGTAAACACAGCAGCAGCCAAGCCATATTTGGTTAGGTGAGCCTTTTTGATAACTTCCTCAATAGTTTTAAATTTTGAGACAGATACGACAGGACCAAATATTTCTTCCTGCATTATCTTCATTTCTTCGTTCTTAAAAAGTAAAAAATTCCGTATACTATTTAGATGATACTATTCATTAAGCATAAATGATACTTATACGTATAGGATAAAACTTTACCACATTGGTGAAAATAGTTGGTTTGATAAAATAACCTTGATCACCGTGTCGTTCACCACCCATCAGTAAAGTAGCACCTTCTTTTTTACCGGTTTCAATATAGGACATAATTCTAAAATAAAGATTGTGATCAATCAGAATAACATAAATAATTATATAACGAAATAATAAATATCATATACTACTTGTTAAATTGTTGCAGAGAAATTTGAGGACCTTGATAAGTATCTTTATGAAAAGGATCCCCAATTTTAATATTCAAAGCATGTTCTTTGAATTTATTAATGAATTTATCATAAATAGAATCTTCAACATAAACACGAGAGCCAGCGCAACAGCATTGACCACTATCGTAGAAGATACCCATATGAGCCCATTTGACAGCTTGATCAAGATCAGAATCAGCGAATATAATATTTGGAGATTTTCCGCCCAATTCTAAAGAAACTTTTTTCAAGTTACTATCAGCAGAAGCTTTTAATATAGACTTTCCTACAGCGGTCGAACCTTATAAGAGAAAATTAAAAATGTTAATTTTATTAATCATTTTTTTTAAAAAAAAGTGGATTAATTCAAACATACCAGTAAAAGATATTTTATTGATTTTCATATGAGAAGCAATAGCAGCACCGGCGATAGGACCAAAACCTGACAGGACATTCACGACACCCTTCGGAAAACCAGCTTCTTTACATAACGCGGCAACTTTTAAGGCAGTCAAAGGAGTTAGTTCAGATGGTTTAAGTACAATGGTATTTCCTATAAATAAAAGGAATTAATAGAGAAATTAAAAGGAAAAATGGAAATAAAATTTAATAACGCATACTATTCTATTCTAAATCAGATTTATACCGCATGCTAAAGCTGGTGCCATTTTCCACGCCTGCATTTCGAGGGGGTAATTCCAAGGAATAATTGCACCACAAACACCAAAAGGTTCACGACGGGTATAGCAAAATTTATCATGTTGTGTCTCGATAACCTAAGACAAAATAAATGAATATACTTGTGCGATAATTAATATGACCATTAACATGATTCGAATATTAAACAACCTTGCCATGGATCTTGTCGCACCATCCAGCAAAATACCTATAACACGAAATTGCACTTGGAAGGTCATAGGTTTTTGCAGAATGAAAAGGTTTCCCATTATCTAAGGTTTCAAGTGCGGCTAATTCCTCAAGATCACGTTCCATCAGATCTGCGAGTTTATTGAGCAACCTTCCACGTTCCTTGCCATCCACATGATACCACCCATCATTAAAAGCATTAGCAGCAGCTTCAACAGCAAGATCAACATCTTTATCTGATGCTTCAGCTACTGAAGTAATCACTTTTCCTGTTGCAGGATTGATGGTTTCAAACACTTTACGATCGACAGAATCAACGAACTCGTTGTTGATAAAGAGACCAGTATAAACTATACATAAAAATATCATTCATGCTTTAATTAAAAATACAAAATTAATTTATAAATTAATTTATAAGAAAAAAACAATGAAACTTTTACCATTGGAAATCCTTCCGTTTGGTAAGGTAATTTTTTCTTCATTTGAATATGCGCTGTTGAGAATGATATAAATTAAGAATTATCATCATCGTAAAACAAGTGAATAAATAATTGGGACCTTAAAAAGATGACATTTTATACGATTGACCATTTATTAGAATTTACCGAGACAATCTAGCAATGTTACGTACAAAATACGTATATTTACCCCTAATAGGATGAAAATTTCTCATTACCGGTAAGAGAATTAATGAAAACGATAATGATGTACAGTACAAAGGTAGATCTTTTTTATAGCCTGTGAATTGCTGCCGCATCCTGTGACGAACACGTTCTCGAGTACATAGAAGTGATGTTGTTTGGCCATCCATAATATCTAACAATAAAACAGTAAAATACCTAATGCGATACTAGTCCCGCACATCTCTACACAAAATTTAAGTTGTTTGCACAGCATATATATACAGTACGTATGAGTTTAACCTTAGCAAATTTATATTAAAATAGGTTCAATTCTTGGTTTCAACTGCATCAAATGAGCCAACAATCTAAAATTATAAATAATAAAAAATTATCACTTTATATGCTACAAACTATATTTATCGTTAATTACAATACAATAATTCGCATTTTTTTAAACAGAAATAAATAGATTATTGTGATAATTTTATATTATTTTTGTAATGATTAAAGAAATAAAATCATCTTTTATAGATTATAAAGTTTAAAAATTACTAATACTGTAATAAATAAAGAATAGATTTGAATTTTGATATTTAAGCGATCTAATTTCGAAATTGTTGGCTTTTAGTTTTTCACTTTTTATAGTTTGGCAATTCTTATAAAAATTCTATATCTACGTATAATAAACAATAAATAGATTTTTTATTTATAGTTAAAATTTAAATTATATCAAAGAAGTTACAAAATCAACTATGTTCTATAAAAATTATAACTTAATTTGAGATAGATATTTAACGACTTGATTATTTTGAGCTTCATTGTTCTTTTTATTATCAACGATGGTGAATCTCAAATGGGGTATTTAATATGAAAAACGCGCTACCCGCAACAGGAGCCACTCAAGCGTCATCGCCATTAGCAGATCTTTCAAAACCATCAATTCGGATCCGGTTTATGCAACGAGTTAACGTATTGGTAGTGTTTCTTTATTATTATTATCCATTAGTTTACTTTCATATCTATTTTAAAAATGCTGGACCCATTCGGATTTTTTGTTCAAAATTCGAAAGGCTAATCAATTAGATAATTGCTTGACTAGGTTGTGTATTAAAAAGTTGAGCCAAGAGAATTAAGTAAGAACGGCTGGCTTTAATTAGGGGTAAAAGACTTTATATTGTTAATTATTACACACTCGATAGATGTTTACAAGCATGGCGAAAAATGAATGACTTTTTTTACAACAGCTGTACGTAGACAAATTCATGGAACGATAATTATTTGTAGAAATGAATAGATCCAATAAAGTTAAATATTAATATTTAAGAATTGCTTGGTACGATAATTTTTAATTTTCACTAAGATTTGCTATCAGCTAATCTTTTAAAATGCATAAATGCTTTATATTCATCTTGTTTAGTGCCAATTCCAAATTGATAACAACAACCAACACTATAGGTTCCATCAGCATCACCCATATCAGCGGATCTTTTGTAATAAATGAATGCTTTATTTTCATCCTTTTCAACTCCAATTCCGTGTTGATAGCAATAACCAACCATAAATATCCCATCAACAATTTCCATTTCTGCCGATTTTTGATAATAACTAAATGCCTTACATTCATTCTTTTCAATTCCAACTCCATCTTGATAACAATAACCAACGTAATATGATCCATCAGAATCTCCCATGTCGGCAGATTTTTGATAATAAACGAACCCTTCATGAACGTTTTTTTCAACTCCAATTCCATGATGATAACAATAACCAACATTAAATGTCCCTTTAACATAACCCATATCAGAAGATTTTTTATAATAAATAAATGCTTTATGTTCATCCTTTTCAACTCCAATTCCATTTTCATAAAAGACGCCAACACCACATGTTCCTTCAGCATGCCCCATATCAGCAGATTTTTTATAATAAATGAATGCCTTATTTTCATCTTTTTCAACACCAATTCCAAGACGATAACAATAACCAACACTCAATGTTCCATCGTCATCGCCCATATCAGCAGATTTTTGATAATAAAGAAAAGATTTACGTTCATCCTTTTCAACACCAATTCCATTTTGATAACAATAACCAACATAATATGTTCCAACAGCATTACCCATATCAGCAGACTTTTTATAATAAATAAATGCTTTATTATAATCTTTTTCGACACCAGTTCCATTTTTATAACAATGACCAAGAGAAAGCATCCCATTAGCATGACCCATTTCTGCTGATTTTTTATAATAAAAAAATGATTTATTTTCATCTTTTTCAACACCTATTCCTTCTCTATAACAATAACCAAGTTTATTTATTCCATAAGAATAATCCAAATTAGCTGATATTTGATAATAAAAGAAAGCTTTATTTTCATCTTTATCAACACCAATTCCATTTTCATATAATTCACCAATATCAGTTATTGCATAAGAATTTCCCATATCAGAAGATTTTTTATAATAAATGAAAGATTTATTTTCATCTTTTTCAATCCATTTTCCATAACGATAACAACGAGCAAGAATAATTAAAATTATTGAATTAGTTTGATTATTTGAACATAAACTAATAAAATCTTCTGATTTTAATTGATTCTTTGTCATATATTGTTCTATTGAATTAAGAAATTCTGGATCATAATTTCCTTTCATTACTTCTTCTTCATGTAATTTACATAAATTATCAATAATTTTTTCATTTATTAAATCTTGACACTTATTAACGTTGTCTTGACTCCGGTGATCATAAACTCCGTTTTCTACCAACTGCTCTGTGAGTGAATTATTGTAATTACTTGGCAAGCTTTCATTTAGCATTGTTACTAATAAAAATATGACACTATACTGTATCAATATTGAGTAATTTGTGTTAAATTTAATTTTTTTGTAACGATAAAAGTATTACTACGTATTTTGAATTACAGAATTATAATTTATATGAACCGATTATGTAATAAATATTTACCGTCACACAACGAAAGAGTTTTTTGTTATGGTTGTAATCGATTACAGGATTAGGTCTTAGCCAACTCAACTGCGTATAATTATTGATCAAGTTCAAATTAATGTAATTATAATTTTTTATATTGAATAATTAGTGTTGTTATCGTTATGTGAAGATCACAATAATAGAACGATCGTTTATATGCATTAGCAATGTAAGTAATAAATCATGCATTGACCAATTAAATAATATTCCAAATTAGTCCTTTAATGGCTTAGCGTTAGTCACTAAATTTGATACAGAGGCGTCACCTAAAAAAAATTTCATATGAAGTGATATCTTTATCATTATATGTTTTATGTATTAGCGTTGGCGATCTGAAATCAACATCAAGATAATGTGGTGCTGGATATAACGCGCAGGGGTGAAATTACAAACCCGGCCTAAATTAGGCTTAATTCGGGCCGAGCCTTGAAATAACGCTACGCGGTTTTACGATTAATTGTTATTTTCATAATTCTTGGAATACCTGATAAAATTGGCCGAATGATTTTTCAACTGATTCGATTTAGTTTGTGATTTCGGCATGATTTGTATAATAAAAGTTATTTTGTATCATTATAACGATAATGTCAATAGGGATGGGTTCGACTACGAACGGCTACGATCATTCATAGCCAATTTGCTAAATATTGAGATGATTTTTTGTTCTTGAGCTTTTAATTAAAGTTATTCAGAATTAAATT